CTACAGTTATGATGACCATCAACTGACTGTGCGGTCTGTTAAGACCTATTGTATTGTTTTGCTATTGGATGTACCACATATAACTGTTATGGTTTCTAAATGACTGATATGACTGTTTAATGACTGAAAGGACATTCATTCTTAGCCTCTTTACACAGTTGTTATTCACTAGACTTTAGCTCACTGTTTATATTTATATGTAGGTGTTCAGGCACCGGATCGATGCTAGGAGCGTCGGGTTAACTTTCTTTTTGCCAAGCCAACCATTGTGCCTCGCCTCGAGGTTCCAAGTCTGACCAAGCTAAGGTTGTTTTAGGGTGTCTCAGTTTCACCCTTCCGTCTCTGTTTTGTAATACTGTTTAAGACTTGTACTGTACTCTGAATGTTTGTACATATGGTGTATATATGTTTTGCTTATGAATGTGAATATATTCGAAAAAGTCTTTTTGCATACAGACTGTCACAGCTCATTGGACATCTTTTATTACTGTTTTGGCTTCCGCCAGCCCATGTACTCTGTATTACTGTCTTTACTGTCAAACAGGCCTTCGGTAATCACAGATTACTGGCCGGTTACAGTGCTAAACCTATAGGGGCGGGTTTGGGTCATCATAGTATTGTTGGTGGGTATAGATTGCTCCTACTCTTTTCTATTGCAGATTTCGATGTATGCAAAGGGAAGAATTGTGTTTTCTACTTGGATGAATGTTGCAGTCTGTATGATGAAAACTTTCATGATTAATATGATGAACTTAAGGCATATGGTCAATGTTTATTGAAACTGTATCTCTAGTTGAGTTTGATTTTAGTCCTGCAAACATTACAGAAGAAGAAGAAGATGATGATGATGATGATGATGATGATGATGATGGAATCATAGACCTCTATGTCCATGGATTTTCTCTCACTTTCTCTCTCTTTTTCTTGGTAAAGTGAATAGAAATAGCATTTTTGTCTTTTGATGTTAATGTGTTTTTGATCTTGAAAGTGAATTTCTCTGGACTTTTATTTGAGTCCAGAGAAAATTAAAAACTTGTTATTACAATCTAGAGAAAATTATAATTATTATTTTTCGCCTATTTTTATTTTGAATTTCTTAGAACTCTTTGATCATTTATGGTTTATATAGCTTAATTCATGTTGTGTTGAAGAGCTTGGGAGAGAAGTGCTCGTGGAGAGATTGTTTGAAGATGATTAAGTCTGTTGAATTTCTTTGAGAAGTCCAGTCTAGAGAAATTTGGATTTCCAGAATTTCTTTAGAGTTGTAGCTGTGTTTTTTCTCTTTTCTTTGAGTTGTTGTTGACTCAAGTGAGATCATAGGTGGCTAGTTTGTAGTTGTTGTATCTACTTGTTGTCCAGCTTATTCTAGAAGGGTCAAATCGAGCCATTGATGGGTGGAGTCAGGCTACCTGCAGTTAATCATTTGTCTTGTTGTGCATTTGTGTTGATGCTATTAAAGTGATGTTGCTTCTATGACTTTTACGGTGCTGCTACAGCTGCTTATTTGATGTAGAAAGAAGATGCTGATGATGATAAAGGCTATCAAAGAATTTCTCCGGAGAAAGAATTTCTCTAAAGTGGTTTAAATTTTCTCTAGAACAAAGTAGAGAAATTTTGAATTTCTAAGAACAAAGCAAAGAAATTTTGAATTTCTCTAGAGTGCTTTGAATTTTCTCTTAATCAAGTAAGAACAAAGCATAGAAATTTCAAAGCCTTGTGAATTCACCCTACAATAAATTACAGATTTATAATCTAGAGAAATTCTCAACAATTCAAATTTATAGTCTAGAGAAATTCTCAATAATAATGAAGCCTTATGAACCAGAATTTCTCTGTGAAGTCCAGAGAAAATTCGACCAGAGAAAATTCATCTAAAGAAATTCTCTGTGAACCAGAATTTCTCAGTGAAATCCAGAGAAAATTCATCTAGAAAAATTCTTAAGATCGAATTTTCTCAAAATCAATGTTGAGAGACCTTAGACATTATGAAAATATTGAATATCTTTTATGCTATAAAATCTTAATATTAGGGATTTTAAAAAAAAAAATCTCCAAAATTCATTGAAAACAAAAAAAAAATATATGAAAAATAAAAAGTAGAATTTTCTGAAAAGTCTTTTATGAAAACCAAAATCAAATAAGCTTATATTCTACAAACATTTAACCTACACTAGGCTATTTTTTTTTTCCCAAACACCCCCATTTTAAGGGCTGAGATCACACTTCTCTTTTGTTTTTCTTTCTCTCAAGCTCTGTTTGTTCAGGTTTCAAAATTCAAACATTTCAAAGGTTTGATACTATTCTCTCTCTACCAAACATTCTCGTTTCCCCATTCCACCCTCTCTCTCTCTCATAGTCAAACACACTCTTTGGTTCTCTCTCTCTTCTACCTGATCTCTCCCCATCGGAGCCCATCCTATATGGATATCCAACCTCAACCCCCTTGCCCATAGCAACCCTGACCGAAGGGTTCGATTTTTCCCATTACAATCTGAAATCGCCTATTTCAATCTGAAATTGAAGGGTTTGATTTTGCCCATTGCAATATGAAATTGCCCATTGCAATATGAAATTGCCCATTTCAATCGTTCAAAGTTAAGCGAGTCGTCTTCGATCAAATGGTGGGTTTTGCAAGTCGTCTTCGATCAAGTCAACCGATTTCAATTTCAGATTTTCTTCAGTTTCATATTTCAGCAGGTCAGATTTTCTTCCAACAAAACACTATTTCAAACTTCGAACTCAACCTACTGTATGAATCTCTTCATCTTCTATGTTTTGCAGATCACACTAGAGAACCCATTATGTTATGGAGGTAACGATCTTTGTTAGAATATGATTTATTGAGTTCCATTTAATTGAAATTTTGTATTGTGGTTATGAGTTGTGTTTCCACATTATGTGTTTAACCTGTGTGTTTCTAATTTTATTTTTTTTAACATTTATTATCAGCATTGTGTATGTATATTGTTTTAGATGTATTGTTAAACAAACTTGCACGTTGGAATTTTGGAGATTGTTGTAGAGCTATTAGTGTTTTTAATTATTTTTTTTTAACATTTATTATCAGCATTGTGTATGTATATTGTTTTAGATCTATTGTTAAACTAACTTGCAAGTTAGGATTTTGGAGATTGTTGTAGAGCTATTGGTGTTTCTAATTTTTTTTTTATTTTTTTATTTTATATTAGGTTATTATGAGTCTCTAATTGATTTCTTTATGGCTCTCGAACTGTATTCTCCCGTTTTAGCATCCGTTTGGTTACTGAGAAAAGCTGAGAAACTGTGGAAATAAAATATATAGAAGAAAATTTCGAGGATTACATTTCTTTTCGTATTTTTTCCGGAAAATGTATAACTCATCTCAATTAATCCAAATTGTTGAATCTGGCTCTCTCGATTGTTCTGTTTTGTTCTTCTATTAATCAAAATTTATAGATTGAGGTACTGATTGTATTGCCTTTTATTTCTGGATAAAGTTAAACATTTGGATGAAATTTGACATCTTCAACTCTGTTATTAATATGAAACCTGTCAATTTGTGGAGTTTTGATGAAATGTAAAATTAGCAGTGGATTAGATTATGTTATTCATCTGATGTTATACATGTTTGTGTACATTTGTAAATATAATTATACAAGATATGTTTCTGTGTATATTCATATTCTTTTAAGTTGGATTTGTCACCGCTTTTGTTGGCCGATTGGGCTCTCTGATGATAAAATATGTTGATTAAGCACTTGTTAGTTGTATTAATAATTCTTTAATTTTTATTTTGTGTATTTATTCATTTTCTCTAAGTTGTATTTGGTACCGCTTTTGTTGGATGATTGGGCTGGAATGATAAAATATCTTAGATAAGCACTTTTCAATGGTATTAATAATTCTATTATTGATTGCCAAATCTGACCGTTGAGGCTCGAGGGTGACTGAATATTGACTTCTCTGGGTTCTGATGTAATTATAGAGCAATGTATAAAATTATGTCAGTAACAAGCACATGTTGGGCATATAAATAATTCTATTATTGGTTGCAAAATTTTATCTTCGAGGAGGGTGGCTAATAGTTAAATATTGATTCAGTGTTAAGGGATGTAAAGTTTGAGTAGAATAATAGAGTGGGATCGTTTTCAGATTCTGGGGAATAAGTTATTCTTGTACTAGTGTGCTATGAATATTGCTAAGTTCACTAAATTAATATTATTATTGATTTTCTTATCTTTTATTTTTTATCACTTTTGACAAGCTATTAACAACGAAGAATGATATTATGATGATTTTGGAGATGTGGGACATGTTAATTGGAGATGGTATAGAGGCCGAGCTATAACAAAATTAATATTATTCAGAGAGAACAATGCAAAAACAGTCCCATTTCTTCTTCTCAAGCACCAGATGTACTACAGTCTTATGACTGTTCTTCCAAGTACTACCACCAAACATCAAGGAGACAACAATTCATAATATAACACAACTTAATAGAGAACCTCCTCCAATTTGAGTTTTGATACCTTGTTAAGTTGGCAATTGTTCCCTAAGTTTAAGCTGTTAAAAAATAGGCCCAACAATATATGTCGAGCTATGCAACGCCAATGAAGCCACTTTGGCAACCACATAGCATTAATATGGTACCTGCAAGATGTCTGTATTGAGAGGAAGTGGTTGCCCATAGGTACATTAATGTGGACATCTTGGGTTTAGGGTTTAGGGTTCAGTTGCCCACTGCCTTTCACCAATATAAGTATGTGTTCAAGCTTACTAACAATCTTTTCATTATCATTTCCCTCAATCTAGGCATCATGGCTTTACACCATTCTGATGCAGTGCATTTCAACCTCAATGCATCTGTGACTTCTTTAGTATTATTAGACTATTTCTTCATCCATTTTCCAATTCAAAGATATGGAACGAAAGTGATGATATTGGCAAGCTAGAGAACCAGACCAAATCACCTGAGTTCTTCTAATTATCTACTGAAATTGAAATAGTTGTCTTCAAGGGTAGTACATGTAAGAAATAATGGTATTGGCAATAATGCTGCATAAAAGGGACTTATGTACTTGTTAATGTTGTTTCAGCTGGTTGGCGCTTTCCAGCTTACTCTTCACTTCTAATATATGCTGGCAGGTGGCAGTCATTGCACCAAACATTCCAGCTCTCTATGAAGCTCATTTTGGAGTTCCGATGGCTGGAGCTGTTATAAACCCTGTCAACATTCGGCTCAATGCATCAACTGTTGCTTTTCTCTTAGAACATTCATCATCTTCTGTTGTAATGGTGGATCAAGAGTTTTTTCCCTTGGCAGAGGAAGCTTTGAAAATTTGGCAAGAGAAAAAGAAAAGCAGTTTTAAGCCTCCACTGCTGATTGTCATAGCTGATGAAAGCTGTGATCCAAAGGCACTCAAATATGCTTTAGGAAGAGGGGCAATTGAATATGAAAAGTTCCTGGAAACTGGTGACCCTGAGTTTGCTTGGAAACCACCACAGGATGAATGGCATAGTATTTCTTTGGGATACACTTCTGGTACCACAGCCAGCCCAAAAGGGGTAGTGTTGCACCATCGCGGAGCATATCTCATGTCTTTGAGTGGTGCTCTAGTATGGGGGATGAATGAAGGAGCCATATACCTATGGACTTTACCCATGTTTCATTGTAATGGTTGGTGTTACACTTGGACACTTGCAGCTGTTTGTGGGACTAACATATGCCTTCGACAGGTAACTCTGTGATTCAAATCCTTATATGACCTTTTGATCTTGATCTGTTATTTATTTATTTTATTTATTTTAAAGAAAAAGATGAAGGAGAATCTTGATGCAATTGTAGATTCCATGCTGTTGGACTTCTGCTTATCCTCTAATTACAGGCTATCACAATTGTAGATTCCATCACTTTCTCTTTTTACAAGCTAGTTGCTCACTTCACATATTCATTCTCCTTGACCATGTTCATTGCATTTATACAGGTCACAGCGAAGGCGGTTTATTCAGCCATTGCCAAACATGGGGTGACCCATTTCTGTGCTGCACCTGTTGTGCTCAATACAATAGTAAATGCTTCACCAGATGAAACAATCGTTCCCCTGCCTCGTGTTGTCCATGTAATGACAGCTGGTGCTGCCCCGCCCCCTCCTGTTCTGTTTGCAATGTCCCAATGTGGCTTCCGTGTCACCCACACTTATGGCCTTTCAGAAACCTATGGACCCTCCACTGTCTGTGCATGGAAGCCTGAATGGGACTCGCTTCCCCAGGAAACTCAAGCCCGGCTTAATGCCCGCCAAGGCATCCGATATATCGGCTTGGAGGGCCTCAATATTGTCAACACCCAAAATATGATCCCGGTACCAGCTGATGGAACTACTGTCGGGGAGATTGTGATGCGAGGTAATGCTGTAATGAAGGGATACTTGAAAAATCCTAAAGCAAATGCTGAGGCTTTTGCAAATGGCTGGTTTCACTCTGGGGACCTCGGCATAAAGCATCCAGATGGGTATATAGAGATTAAGGACAGATCGAAGGATATTATAATATCTGGAGGCGAAAACATTAGTAGTGTGGAGATTGAAAATTCACTATATTTACACCCTGTGGTTTTAGAGGCATCAGTGGTGGCAAGGCCAGATGAGCGGTGGGGAGAGTCGCCTTGTGCTTTTGTGACATTGAAGCCAGGGGTAAACAAATCCAACGAACAGCGCTTGGCAGAGGACATAATGAAGTTCTGTCGTTCTAAGATGCCTGCTTATTCGGTTCCAAAATCAGTAGTGTTTGGACCTCTGCCAAAGACATCTACTGGGAAGGTACAGAAGCACCTACTGAGGGCCAAGGCAAAGGAGATGGGTCCTCTCAAAATGAGTAGGTTATAATCATACAGCGGGTATGTGACTAATGGATTCAAGTCACGAAAACTACCTCTGGAATCAATGTTTTAACAAGAGACTCGTGCATTGAGTTCTCACGCAATGACTAATAGAAAGAGGCATCTTCATGGTGCCTGTTTATTGCTGTTTTCTTCTTTTTCCACGCAGGTGTATGTGAGCCCTTCTGCTGTTGTTATGTAAAATGGATTAATTTAAAATTGTGGTACTTAATAATATTGTCCATCTGTTCATATAATGAATATAGTATGTATGATTAGGACAAAGACTCTTCCCAAGGATTGAGGTCAGTGTGCACGTAATGAAGCTTATAGTATGTACGTTTTACAATCACAACCCTCAAAATTGAATTTGATTCTGTCCTGAAAAAGAAAACATGAGAAATATTTTGAGGTATGCTACAAATTTGTTACACTTACCGAGGGTTAGATCAATTTTCCATGTGATCTCAAACTCACGAATTCAGTAACAAAAGCCGTCACAATTTGAGTTTCAACTTGGATTGTGTTTGGTAGACGGATTTAGAAGAAGAAATGACAAATATAAATCAAACGTAAATGAAATTTATAGAATTGATTTGCTTTTGCGTTTTTTCTTTCCATTTTGTAAACCAAACACAGCGGTCTTATAAGCACCAAAGAGCCCCAAGTTTCTATGCTTGAGGTCTGTGTAACTGAACCAACATACTGAGATGCCTTTATGAAATGGTATTGAAGTCTCACACATGTATTGTAGCAATGTGGGACTCTTGCAAAACAGATTTCAATAATTACAGATTTTCATTTTTACATCAAATCTTTTTTTTAAAATTTAACATAAATTTGATGTTATATATATATACTAGCGTATGCCCGTGCCTAAAGGCACGGTGTAAATAATATTAAGATTAAAATGAATCTTTTTTTAAAAAATTTAACATAAATTTGATGTTATATATATATATATATATGTACATCGGTTTAGAATTTGAAGTGTTAGGAATGTACATATATTTGGAATATAGAGGGTGTTTTAAAAAAAATTAAATTTATAAGTGGCTGTGCTCAAAATGTAAGTTTAATATGTTTGTAATTAGAAACTCCAAACTCACAGTTTACCATAGTATCTAATATGCTGTGTTGACAATTATTGAATTCATTTTGAGTGAAACTTGCATTCTGCCATGATGAATGTATTGGACAATTCTCACTGTATTCGAAGAATTAAAGAAATAAGAGAAACTGTTTGATTACAAAAATCAAAACAGTATATAAAATAAAATAAAACAACAGATTCTTATCTTGTTATAAAAAAACAAAATCAGAATTTGATAAAAAAATAAAACATAAAGTAAATTAATTATTTACCTTATTAACTTTCTCGAATAAAATTTTGATCAAGTCCAGTGTTTAATACTGTGTCTTTAAGATAGATTCGTCCTCTCCACGGTGCTTTCAGATTATGGATGTTTATCTCCCAGGATAAAATGATCAACAGCAAACAGTAGGAGCACTACAAACTGTTTGCACAACGAACACACTTTGTGTTTATATTCTTTCTCATAGGAGAATAATGCAGCAAAATGCAGAGAGAACAATTGCAAGATTGAGGACGAAAATTTTAAGTGAAAAATCAAATGAGGGATTTGTCTATATAAATGTGCAAAGATGGCTGTTCGGTTTGAATTCAACAGGTAGCAGATCTGTTTGAACAGGTACTGTAGCTATTAGGCATTGTTTGAACAGATACAACCTGTTTGGTTTGAATTTTGAACAGATAATTGAATCTGTTCGGTTTATATTGGACATATATGGACCTGTTTGGGTGTAGGAATAATCTGGACACCATTTCGGAATTGTTTTCAAAATTTAAATTCAAAAAAGGTAAGAATTTAATTTTAGAAAAATAAAAATCCAAAATGTTTTTGGTCCAAAAAGATAAGCATTGGGCTGGACAAGCCCAACCTAACCTCACACCACGCACCTGCCCGACTGGCAGCAACGGCGCGCGCGTGTTTATTTTAGGTAGCCCACTTTGTCCATAACTTGACCCTTCCACAAAACTTGGGTACTCCTTAGGGCCCTCCCCAAGTTGCAAACCCATGCCTTATAAACCCACAAAAGTTTGCCCACTAAACCAATGTGGGACAAACCTTTAAGGAAACTTCACCAATATACCATTTCCATGAAGCTCACTTTGACTTTAATTTTTCATTCACCTGATAATGGTTTTGAGCAACCAAATATCTCCTCTCTCTCTCTCTCTAAATTTGGTTCACCCTCTCTCTCTGAAGCTCTCAACTCTCCAACCACAGCTGCTCCTCCGCCGCCCTACTTCGACGACATGGACCTCCACTGTCTCGAGCCATGGACTAAGAGAAAGCGCTCCAAGCGTTCCCGCAGCGAAAACCCACCAACCGAAGAAGAGTATTTAGCCCTCTGCCTTATCATGCTCGCTCGCGGCGGCTCCACCAAAATTACGTTAATCATAATGGCGTAGTCAATTTCGGTTTCTATGGCTGATAAGGCCTTCAAATTTCAGTTTACAAAAGTAAGTTGAATAGATCTTCCTACGGTGAACAGATATAAGGCCAAAATCACATATAATCATGCAATTAACACCCAAATTCAAATTAATCAAATATTCACAACATAATTATGATTAATTAACTTAACACAAGACATGGTTATCACTTGAACCTTGGAGCCTACCTGCAATTCAATCACAGATTGAAGCCACCGGTTGACCAGCTGGTCGACCTACCAGATGTCCTCCCGGTCAACCGGTTTTGTGCAGCTGGGTGTCCTGTTCTGCTTTTGGATGATAGCTTCTTTGGTGATCCACAGACTTCCTCAACACTTTAATTCATACAGACATACTCATAGTGCTTTATAGGGAAGTGAGGCAGTAGATGATCATGAATGAGGTATTTACAAGATTTAATGAGGTAATTTTATTTTTAACGAGGTAGATGTAGCCTTCTATGCTTCACACTTCTCATGCATTCATGAAGCATCCCTCAGATTTTCAAAACTTTAAAATGCATGCACTGATGAACCATCCTCCATGATTGATGACAAACAAAAACAAATAATAAAAAAAAAACCCCATAAAAGAAAACAACATCAAATTTATGTATACTTAATTTGAAGCATCTATCAAATTCTTTAACGGAAAATTTCATGTGGCTATGAACCAATGGACCAAAGTGAAAAAAAATGTGCAATTTTAAAGATCAAAGTAAGAAAAAATAATATTTTTGTAGAGGGTAAAAAAAATAATATTTAAATAAAAAATTTTAAGTAACTTTTCATTTTACATTAGTAAATTGGATATTGACAAAATTTAAGGACCAATAATACTTTAGGTAGAAAGTATAATTTCTTAAAATAAAATTGACCAATAGTCTTGAGTGTAAAAGTCTTGGTGATGTTAACTTCAAGTGTAATACATTACAAATAAAACTGAGATAGCAGTAATATTTTTGCTAAAATACAGTAACATAATCAAACCCAATAATCATCTCCAATAACATAAGACCATCTCCACAAACATAATATATTAATTTCATGCATTTAGCTCCAAAAATGATATATATGTACAAGTTTAAGAGCATCTTTACTACCAAAACAATAACAACAAACACTGACAAATCATATGCTTAAACACCTCCCAATCAAAAAAGCCAACCAGAAGTTCATTCTCTTATCTACATGGTGAAGTTGCTTCCACTATGAAGTTGCCACATATGTTCAATTAAATCATTGTTGAGGGCATGATATGCATTCTTATCTCTAATACCTAAATAACGGGACATAAAGGATTCAAAGTCATTGTTACTGATAGTAGAAACTACTACTACTGAATTGGTTGATGATGTTTCATAATCCAAATCAAGATGAGTCTCTCTCATCTTCAACAATCATATTGTGCAATATAATGCAAGTTGTAGACGTCCCTAAATGCCCCGGGAGAGAATCCCCCGTTTTGTTCATTGGGCTCACTACAGTTCAGGACTCAATATCACGGTCCTGTATCTAATCTCGCTGAGGGCAATGCAAGACCGATGAATCATCAAAGAGTCCAGATCCGGCAAATCGTTTTGAAAACAGATTTTTAGAAAGAAGTGCCAAACATGGATTGCTTTGCCAGATACAGAGTCGCCACCTAAATATTTATTTTTGGGGATTTAGGAAACCCTGACTCGTGCCTAAGGCCACGTGTCCGTCATCACCAAAGTTGCCTCGGCTCGGGAACTTGGGTACGATTGGGGAAGGTCAGCTATGAGCACCCCCGCTCGCCTGATCAAAGATCGGCCTCTACTAAGCATGATATCTTGTTTTTTGAAACACATGTGCTCTTATTCTAGTTAATTAGCTAGAATTTACTATGTGATGTGCACAACACACAAGTATAGACTAGGTCGCCTAATTTGGAACAAAGCATCGCATACCCGTTTGTTTTGAAAATGGATTGAAATTTGCTACTCATAAGTAGGCAAAAACACGGGTTTCGACGAATCATTCCAACTCAAGCAACCCAACCTTCACCCACAGGCAGTCAGGCAGTTATATCATGTAAGCAAATAGCCTCATGGCAAGCATGCTATCATGGCAGTCACTCACATGCATGTAAGGATGCTAAAACTTAAAAACTTATCTAGTACTCCGAGCCAAAACAAGAAACTAGTTAGTAATCATGCATGATCCTAGTTCATGTTAAGATGGCTAATGTAACACATGCAAAATGCAACTAGAATAGGCTCGGCTAATCTAAGGATGGCATGTGAAATGCAATGACTCGATACACGTATTCAAGTTGGAATTGAAACACAATGCAGTTAGCATGATGCGCCGAGCCCAGTGCATGCAAAACAGATGAATGATGCAAACATGCGAGCATAAGTATGCTAATTGAAACATGTCCTAAACTAACCATCAAAAGCTAGTAAATAAAAGGAAGAAAGACGTGGGGTTGGAAGACATTCACACACGCACGCACACTTATTACAAATTCACCCTCTCGACGGAGGGTCCAAATAAATAATACAAATCGAATAAATAACAGCTACAGCTAATTATTACGCAATTCTTAACTAATTAAACAAATTAATTAAGCTATGAAAAACAGTAAAACGGCCTCGGGAAGAGGGATGAATGCATGCTTGGTCGGCTTCGCCCGAAAATCCATTGCCATGCCTCATGTTGCCTCTGTTTGCACTATTTTGTTCCTCTGAAAATTGCACAAGTCTCCAAAACACTCCTGATCCACCTCATGGATGCTGTGA